CATGTGTATACAAAATAATATAAACTAAGTTAAAAGTTTTATATCATGTTTATTAATTAGATAGTTAAAAATAATTCGAACCTATTTTATACAGTCCACTTTGAAAATGTAACATAATTATTAATGAACAACATGGCTTTTTTTCCGGTAGATCTACTACTACCAATTTATTATTATTCCAAAATTACGTACTAGATGCATTTAATAAGAACTACCAAGTTTATGTAATCTATACTGATTTCTCTAAGGTATTTGACAAAATAGACCAAATCAGTCTCGCAGCCAAATTGCACAACATAGGCTTTCGTAATCCTTTTTATTCTTGGTGAGTCTCTTTTATTACTGATAGAAAACAATATACAAAAGTAAAAAATTTTGAATCACCACTATACGATGCCAGTTTTGGAATTCCACAGGGTTGTCACCTAGCTCCTCTTTTATTTAATATATTTATAAATGACATAAAAATTGCTAATTCCCGCTTGCTTCTTTTTGCAGACAATTTAAAAATATTCCGAATAATTAGAACTCCTAATGATACAAAAGTGCTCCAGTATGACCTTAACCTACTCAATAATTGGTGTGTTCTTAATAAATTATACTTTAATACCAATAAATGTAAAGTTATGACATACTCAAGGATACGTGTAATTCATACTTATAAGTATTGCTTAAATGATACTGAATTGACAAGAGTTTTTAATATTAAAGATCTTGGTGTTTTTTTTTTACCTTCCCTATCGTTAAATGATCATTATGCATACATCATTAACAAATCATTTTCTATGTTAGGTTTTGTAGGTAGAACTTGTTCCGATTTCAACAATTCTATTGCTATAAAATCTCTCTACTGTTCATTTGTTCGTTCTATTCTAGACTATAACTCTGTTATTTGGTCTCCCTACATGTCTAGTCCCAATGATGATATTGAAGCGATTCAAAATCGCTTCCTAAGGTTTGTTGCATTTAAATACGGTATCCGTCGCCAACGACACACATCTTATTTACCATTACTAACAGTTGATATTATTAAACAACAAGGATACATTTTCATGATGACTTACTACTAATAGTAGCGTGGTGTTCACAAAGGCAAAAATCGGTAGCACTCTCACTCTCGTGAGGCTGAATACATGGCACTGAGTCAAGCAGTCTAGGAATTAACTTGGTTGACGCTACTAATAAGTGATCTTCTGGAAACACAGGGAGAGACACCCGTTCTGTATACGGACAATCAAAGTGCCATAAAATTGGTGAAGAATCCAGAATTCCATAAACGAACTAAACATATAGATGTTCGTTTTCATTATATTCGTGAGAAGTTCAATGAAGGGATGTTTTCACTGGAGTATGTGACCAGCAAAGAGCAGTTAGCTGACATCTTGACCAAGCCAACACCACGAACAAGATTTCAAGAACTCAGAGAAATGTTAGGAATTAGATATATAGATTTATANGAGAAATGTTAGGAATTAGATATATAAATTTATCATTTTTTTTTTTTTTAATTAACAATGTACGGGTGTATTGTTTAAGGGGAAGTGTTGATATTATTAAACAACACACTGGGTACAGTAATATTATTTAAGATAACAGTTTAATGTATTTTTACTTATGTTAGTATAGTACAAGGTCAAAGGGACACATTCCTTTTACGATTATGTTGTTTTACTCAATGCAGTCTATTGTATACATGTTTACAGTTTAGTCGTAGTTTCGCCGTATATTGAGTAAAGTGTCATAAATTGTCCTGAGCTACTGATTAAATTTAATTTTCTAGTTCATATTACAACTACATCCACTCCAAACACGTTACCGTGTCTCATTCTAGGTGGGACACAACATACATACTTTATTGTATTGTAATGTATATTATTGTAATTTAAGTCAGACAGCACATGTAAACATTACTCTGCAAACTGATGGTCGTCTTCCTTGTATATATTGGGCCTAGCCCGTTTAAATTTTTCTATAAAATAAAATAAATATAAAAATATATAAATACGATAGTGCTATAGTAAATAAGTATGTATAGTACAAAACAAAATATTTAAATGTTGTGCCAATAACAATATGACAATAAATATTAATTATTATAATAATAATCAATAGCAGCAATAAAATGCCTATAACATTTTAAAACAGTATAACGAAATTTATTGCTGTCTGAAAGATCATCTTGTTCTCTTTATACATTGTAATAGCCCTTAAAAATAAAAAGTTCAGACGTTTTTCGTTCTTCTAGAATTTTGGCCTTTGCAATTTTAATGTATTGTTATTTGGTTTTGTAAATTTTAATTATAAATGTGCTTTTGAATGTGGAAATCTACAATTTTTTTTGTTTTTGGACTTCACATTATTATTGATTTAATTGTAACTTTCTTTTAAAGCCATGGATGTCAAAAGCAAATAAATTTTGGCAATACAAATAGATTTCTTTAATTTGGTTTTTTTTTTAAGTATTGATATTGTATAAGCACTTGATTCTTTAGTTTTTACTAATAATTTGAATTCCAAAATCTTCAACTGGCGATCGTTGAACTAATTATTTAACCACCATTACTAGTATGAATTGCTTATTCTTCATCTTTTATAATTTTCAGTGATTTGAAATTGTTGAAATTTGCTTTACAATTGTAAGTTTTTTACAAAAATGTTTATTTTATGAACTAATTATAAATTAATAAAATTATATTACTGATTATACAATGATGTGAATTATAAAATTGCATTTTGAGACTTTAAGTTTTTACATGTAGACTTGGTATGATTAAATATAGAATATATATTATGAATATTTAATAACTCATTGAAATCATTAAAGAAAGTTTGCTTTCATATGATTTGTATATTTATAATCAATAACAAATTATGGATGATTGACAAACAAGTAATATATTGTGTAATATTTAGTCAACTTAAAAATAAATAAATTATAAGTATATTGTTATAAACATTTTTTTATGTTCATTATACAATGTTTCCTTTCACGATAGCAAGACCTCAGGGCATCCAACATCATGTTGACAGTGAAAAAAAAGGGTTTATCTCCGAAAAGTTTTACTTACAACTATGATTATTGTTAGTACCGGTGTTATTTATTGCTTACCACATGATTTCATATAAGACAATATAAACATTTTATGGGCATCGATTTCGCAATATATCGTGCGATAATTTGACTTACAGCAATCTATGAAGGCAGGGGAGAGTTTTTAACATTACTCTATAAATGAATGTAACGGAATAAACCTAAAGAGTAATAATATGATGCAACATCTATAATACAATTGGTGATGTATACGTCACACTTACAATGATGTACTGCAACCTATATGTGATTACCTCACCGCCAGTATTCCACGTTATTTTCATAATTTTAATATTTACAAGCGTTACGAAAGTAACAAATAGAATAAAATAAAACAGTATTGCTGTTGTAACTCAAAAAAAGAGACAAAGGAATAATATAAAATAATTAAGTTAAAAGAACATGAATAATATATAATATATAATATTATGTATAGATGCGTTGCTTGAGCAGATATTGAAATAATTGAGTTTCTTATAGTCTTAAGCTTAATTCCTTATTATTATTTTTTTTGAGTTACTTTTTATATCGGGGTCAGTGTTCCGAGGGTTTTCTCTTTCTTTTTTACTAATATAATTCCAAAGAAAAAGGAATATTACTATTCATATGTATATGTAAATTTTAATTTACTAAAAATCCAGAGCAATCGCCAACCGTAAAATAACAGCTCAAACGAAATCTGCTCTATATATTCAGTTTTACCAAAAGTACTTATTTACTTTATTATTTATATTAAAATTTTATGTTCAGCATTTTTGCTTACCTTTGAATAAGTATTCTTTTTTTTTCTTTTTTAAAATGTGTCTTTTCACACTGATGATGTTGATGAACTAACTGACATTCAGAGATTCTAAGTGCAAGTAAGCTTTTTATGCCACGTTAATCCGTCTTTTATACTTTTTTAATTCAATTAGGGGTCAACATCATTAGTGTTTCCAGATATTTTTATTGATTTATAGTTTAATTGTGATCAAAGTTTAAAATATTTTCTTTAAATACACAATAATATGAGTAATAAGATGATAACATAATATTTGTCACGTTAATACTATTATTACAACATTGCCGAATTAATAATTAATTAGTTTATTAAAAAGTAATAAGTAATAGTAATCGCACAATAGTTCTCAAATGACTAACGATGCTCTGAATTACAACAGTCGTAGTCGGGCCACTTTCCGGTTTTGCAACACCGAAAAATACCTTATAAACACATTATTATAGGCCGACCTTGATTACAATTCAATTTATGATTATCTGTTATTATAATTGTAAAACAATAACAAAACTAATTTAAGTGTTCATAACACAAGCTTAACTTACGATATAAAATTAAACTTATTTTAAATATTTTGCTTCTCCTGGATTAAAAAAAAAAGATTTTGAATTTTATCTCGTTTAGATTGAATAACCTTCCTTTATGATAAGGAATTTATTTTTCATATTTACTTTATTTTACTATGTGATTTTTTCTTGTGTCTGTCATTAATTTTGATAGAATAGAAGAGCGCATTAAAAATGTTTGATTACAACTATCAATAATAATAACTTACATTGTTAAAATAAGAGACTAACTGATTTCAAGTACAATTGTTAATGTATTGTTTTTTAAATCGATAAGAAATTCTTAACGATATATATTAATGTTCAGGATTTTTTTCTTATTATTATTGGGTTCATATAAAATTCTTGCATTATCATAATTTGAACTTAACAATTTTGTGATATTTTTCTTGTAGTAACACCGTCTGGTCAAGTATTATAACTATAATCCGATAAAAAATCCTAAATACTAGGTTTGGACTAGTTGAACCTGTGCTAGACTTATTCTACCGATTTTTTTATTATTATTTATTAGTAAGTGTTAAAATGAACAATAACTATTCTTTAAGAAAAAAAAAACTGAATATATCATATTTTTTGATTTGATATATTTGTTTCTTTTATTGAAACATTCTTACATTCATATTTTCAATAAAAAATAGTTTTAATGTTTGACATCTAACAGGCCTCCTACGATAGCCCAGGTTTTTTTCTTCTATTTAATTCAATTACATAAATTTAAATAATAGTTAACTAGCCTAGCCTTGTTGAAATATAACATTTTATAACTTAATTTCACACCCAACTTAATTTCATAAATGAGAAAATTTGATCACAAAAATTTAATTTTGTTCGTTTATTAAATTTTAAACTTATGTATTATTAAAAAGTTTAAAAGAATGAAAAATTAAATTATTGAACAAACATATAACTACAAACATCTATTTATTATTATATATAGATTTAAAATAGGTACTTTTACAGTTTCTAAAATATCATTATTTTATTAAAAAGGGAAATAATTATTTTTTTTATGTTAACAACTCTTATAATCTTCTTTGGTTCTCAATATGAATGTGGTATTGATAATATTAGATTGGGTTGGGTTATCGAGTATTTTTATATTAATGAACTATCCAATACAATAATAATAATGTTAATTAATTTTTTAAAATATATATATAAAATTATGCATAAATTTAATAATTCAACTTTTTTAATCAACAAGGTGTTCATGCAGATCACAACTTTGAAAGTGTTTTTGAAAATTAAATAAAAAAATATTTTATAAAAATGGTTTATATTCCAATTGAAATTTAGTGTCTTGGCTTAGATACTAAATCTCAAACATTAACTGACTCATTAATGATTCTGTTTTCTCCATTATGTTTTAAGTAAACAAATATTATGCATTTCATAAAACAAATGAAAATGTGATTAATTTGAAATATTCAACAGGATATAATGCAAACAAATAAAATAAAAAACATCTAACATAATACTATAGCCAATTTTGATATTATTATTATGGTTCACTTTTCGATTCTTTGGAATAGTTTTGCATTCTCCTTTTTGCTTCTTTATACAAAATGTCGGCTATTTTCAATTTAGCATTTTGTTTAATATTTATTTTATTAGGAAAATGAGAGTTATTTTTATTTATTTCTGTGATAGGTTCCACCACATTTTGCTTATCATATATTACCGTAATAATACCACCTGAAAAATATTGTAAATAAATACTAGAATATGTAGATACAGTAAGAGAAATTTACCGGAATCACCAGCTGGAGGAGGAGAAGAAGGAACAAATAAAACATCCATATTTTTCCGTAAAGTTGTGGGCAACGTGCTTTCAGTAATTGTAACTAATTCATCCATACTAGCAGTCTTTACTCTAATTTCGGGAACTGATTCTGAATAATCTGTTGAATCAGAATCACTTGCTGAAAATTTAGAATTCACATGAGGTTTATTCCATTTATTAATTATTTTAGAGTTCTTAGAATCTTCATTTATTAGATTTTGATTTTGACGTGCATAGTTCTTATGACGAAAATGTTGTCGATGATGAGTATTCGCTTTACGAAAATTACTATCTTCATTTTCGTTAATTTTAATACTTTGGTAATTTGCTTCTACTTTAACTATTTTTTCACGTACTTTATCCAATGTTGTTATATCTAAAATATATATTCAATATTATGATTTATTATTTAAAACATCAAAAAAAACTGACAACGACAATAAAACACTTCCCAAGCGACGTGCACTCAGTGATTTAGATACTATAAAATATGCTGAGTAATTCGGAATCAGTTATTTTCGCGGTATCTTTTCAAAAGATAAGTTGTCTGTCAAACCCAAATTATACGATAGTGCAGTTGTTAATTTGGATATTGACCGTGGAAAAGGAACGCATTGGGTAGCGTATTTCAAGAAAAGGAAGGACGTGGTGTATTTTGACTATTTTAAAAATTTACCTCCTCCGCTGGAACTTGAAAAATATTTCATCGGATTGCGCGTGAAATACAATTATAATCAGAAACAAAAATATAACATAAACGTTTGTGGTCAGCTGTGTTTAAAATTTTTAAAATTACAATGCTCAAATCGCTGACATGACACAACGTCGGAAGTCACATCAAGTTTTTTTTCACCGATAGAATTCACTGAAGCACCAGAGGTTGCATTGTTAGGATTTACGGTTGTAATTCAATTCCAAATATTGAAAAGTCAAACAATACATTCACTTTGATAAATACAAATAACAAGCTTCTTGAAAATAACATAGAAATTAAAGTGCCTGAAGGCACTTATGAACTTGAAGGCATTAGTAAATATCTAGAAGAACGTCTTCAGTCGTATAAAATCTCATTCATGTTAAAGGCTCATAAAAGCACTTTAAAATCAGAATTAAAAAATATCCGACAGATAGATTTTAGCGTTGAATATAGTATGGGTAGTATTTTAGGCTTTCATCGAAAGATACTCGACGCAAACAAAACACATATATCGGATCAAGTTGCTAACATAAATAATTTAACTAGTGTAAAAATAAATTGTAACCATGCTTATGGCGCATTTGACAACGGAATTCCGAGTCATACGGTTAACGAGTTTAATCTAGGAGTGGCAGCTGGTTGAAAATCCTAAAATTTTGATATATTATCCATCAATATCCAATCAATTATACTCTATAACTATGAAAATAACAGGTCAAGACGATAAAGCAATTAACTTTAAAGGTGAGCCTGTTACCTTACGTCTACATATACGTGAGGGCTCTTCGATTCAATAAAACTGTCGTAACACAGTAAAGATGGATAAATGGTAAACGAGTGTAAGTGCAAACTATGTGTACGAAGATGAATATGAGGAGGTGGTGCCTGCTGTCTAGGTATTCACGTGCGTGTTGTCGTACAGCAATCACCGTGCTCGGCTGACACTCCGGGTTAGCTGTGGTTGTCGAAAGGCTGTTGTTATAGGAAGGGAGAATAAGAGTAACACCTAGGTATGAGGTGCAGATGAAGTGCAAGAAACAAGTACTCCAAAGAGAGAACGGGGTAGCCGAGTATAAGGTGCAGACGAAGTGCAAGACACGAGTACTTTAGTTATTAGGAGAGGAAAGATAACAGAGTACGAGGTGCAGACGAAGTGCAAGACACAAGTACTCTGAAATGTCGAGGAAAAGAGTATATAGATTAGAAAAGGAATAAACAAAGACTTTACTTTAAACAGTAAGCCGGACAGCGACAACCGAGTACTGAGACTGATGAATGACACAAGGCACTGGAGTCGACTGACCANCATGGCACTGGAGTCGACTGACCAAGGTCTTTTGGGTTTTATAATAATTTGAACTATTACCAATTTGGCAATAAATATTATTTGTTAATTCATCAGTCTTAGGCAGCAGATGTGCTGTCTGTATTTTATTAAAATAATTCTTACGATTATGAAAACGTGACACCATCACAAAACCAAGAGTAATATTAAATTACCAATCATTAAACAACGATTAGTTGAAGAGATACGACGTGAAAATCTTGACATCCTTTCTGCTTTGGGATATACAATTAACAATGGACGATATTTTAGAATTAATGGAAACGCCGTACAATGAAGACCGCATAGTGAAATTGAATTATTTTTCCTATCAACCGTTTTCGGTTAGCGCACTATCAAATAATGATAAGATACGAATATGTATACAACATCAAGATGATAACAACCTTCCATCTGATTCCTATCTCTTGATAAATGGAGAACTCTCGGGAGTTCCTGCCGGCTGAAATGTAAAATTGGTTAACAATTGGCTAGCTCACTGCTTCACTGAAATAAGATATTTATTGAACTCAGTAGAAATAGATAGATTCCGTATGCCTGGGATAGTGTCTACAATAAAAGGGTATATCACGTTTTCACCGAATGATCATACACGGTTTGAAAATGCTGGCTGGAGTGTTGTAACTGCAAATATGAGTATGAAATTTGAAGTATGCTTACCTCTAAGGTTTTTATTAGGATTTGACGAGGATCATAAAAAAGTTATCGTTAATTGTCGTCAAGACTTAATATTGCAACAGAGTGGTATAGATTTAAACTGTATTTACCCGACAAATGAAAATTGATCAAGTTGTAAAATTATTTTAAACAAAGTTGTATGGAAAGTTCCACATGTAAGTGTGTTGGATCCCATGCGGTTAGACATGCTCAAAATCCTGGAAATCTCAACACCGCTTTAAATAGCATTTCGAAGTTGGGATCTTTATGCAAATCCCGGCCTACCAAATAGTAAAAGACAAACCTGGACTGTGAAAACTTCATCGCAGACTGAGAAACCGAGATATGTTATTGTAGCTTTTCAAGGGGATAGAAAAAACAAAATAAATACAGATAGTAGTAGATTTGACCATTGTTCGTTATCATCTCTAAAAGTATACTTGAACTCGGAATCGTACCCCTATAACAACTTGCGAATGGACTTTCCGAATGATAAGTATGCTGTACCATATCACATGTACACCCAATTCCAAGAGGCATTCTAATAAAAGGAGATGGCGTGTCTTATGCTGACAAAAACAGAATTCAAGACAACTGTACCACTCATTGTCATTTACTGTTCAAGGCAAAACGAAAAATTAAAATATGCGCCAGTAGTTATTAGATAAGAATTTGAATCTGATGAAAATTTTCCGACCAATACTACAGCATATTACTTAATTGTACACGACAAAATGTTTGAATATAATCCTATGACTAATAAAGTTCATAAAAATTATAATTTGTTTTTTTTTTAATAATGTAAAATTTTTAAATTATAAAATATTACTGATTACTTAAATATATATTTGACTATTAAAAAAAAAAAATCTGTTATTTACTTTAGTACCTTATCCTTATTTTATTTCATTTATTTAGTACATACATTCCATTAGATTAGTTTACGTTGTATTTAATCCCCCCGTACACTTCCTCCTCATCATTGATTGAATGGTGAGTAGGTGAGGCGGAGGCCCAGTTCTCTCTATATTACCCTATAAAGTCCAAAATTTTTTTGTCCATAATAAAGTATATTACATTAACTTTAATTTAAGATATATATAAAAGTGTAAGACTTTCCGGAACACTTTCAAAAGTTAAGTTGAAGAAGTTAATTTTTTGTGAAAAAGTTGTTATTTAAATTACCCCCTGTGGGCAGGTAAAGGGTTAGATTTATAAAAAAAATATACCAAATGAAAGGTAAATACATCATGCATCTATAAAAAAAATTATGTTAATCTGGTCATTTTTGAAAAAGTTATGGCAGTTTTAAGTAAAAAAAATTTCGAAAATTTGCGATTTTTAAATATGTAATTTTTTTAAAGATTTTTCCCATTTACGGTGAAAAAAGGAAATTTTTTCAATTTTTGAGGATAATATTTTCTAATAGATACGATTTGTGATCTTTTGACCTATTGTTCATTAAAATCGGTTTAGCGAGAGCTGAGATTGAGCGTTCACATACATAAAAAAAACGCATCATAGTAAAATTAATACCTTCTAACCTTCGCATCGATGCTAAAAAACAATTATCTAATAATATGACTCTAAAATACTTAGGAATATTCCTAAGGTATCTTTAAATACTGTGATATTAGTACACTCGTTTACTTGCCTAAAATTTCAATAAAATTGACATGCGCAAACCAAATCATATTTCACATTTCAGGGTACCTTTGGCATGCTTATGAACAGGTCTAGTAAAAATTTTAGAATTTAAATAAAAAAACGATGACGAAAATGAGCGTTTTAATTTTTAAACGCTCACGGTGTGCTAAAAAATTTTTTTCTTCTCCGCAAATAATTTTCTTAGAATAACATAAATATGTAAATATGTATACTAGGGTGGTCCTTAGTTATAGAAGAAAAATTTTTTTTTAAGAAATTCAGAGTCATGGGCTCAAAACTTCGTTAGGTTTACTGAAAAAATGAAACTGATAAAGTTAGAGTGCAATAAGTCAACCCCTTCACGTGCCTCAAAGGGGTTGAAGTTCTACAAAAATGGGGTGGATTTTCTTTTTTTGAGTGTACGCTCTTTATTTTTGAAGTTTCGCCAAAAACACGAAGAACAATTTTTATATAACTCAATTTGAACAAAAAATAAGGTAATATATTATTTTTTTGTAAGATTAATATTTTTTCGTAAAAATAAGAAAAATCAGTTTCATTTAATTTTTAAAAAAAAATTACAGTTTTCAGTTATACTTTTCCAGTGTCTTAAATTTTAATTGTACGCAGAAATTGTACAGAAGTAATATTAATCACCGTGATATCTTCTATAAAAAACGTTATTTGAGTTTTTTTCGAATTATGAATCCTTTCCAAATAAAAATTTAAAACAACTACGAAAGCGTTTTTTTTTTTTTAAATTTTTTTTGCATGTATGTTTTTTTGTTCATAAATTAACAAGTTTTCTTAGTTATATTAAATAAAAAAAAACAAGAAACACAATAAAATAATAATTGTAATAGATGAGTGTTCAATATTTTGGAGAAAATCGCGTATTCCTACACAGTTTTCTTCAGGCTGTGTTATTAAATTAAAAAAATTGTATGAGAAATGGAGAAAGTTGGACAAAAATAAATCTAGACAAACAAAAACACAAGAACAACATTATAATATTTTTTCTGAAGAATTA